CATCCAGGGGGGAGTAGAAATACTCCTAGCCGCTTCATGCTACAGAAACCGGGATAAGCTCCGGCCTGATGGGCCATTTGGCTCGTATGCAGACTTTACATTTACCTTACCTTTTTGGAGGGTTGGAAGGAAATATAACTAAAAGAAAACTTTTGTTGCATGTATCTTGATCTGTACTTTAGTGGAAGTTCTTCAACAACTTACCCTTAAAATAGCCCATAATTTTAGTTTGTAAAAGTATTGAACCTTTTGGCCCTAATACTAAACTAAACTTAATTGCTTTGTTTTGCTTTGTTTAGAGCGATCATAGAATACTAAATACAGAGCTAAGAACAATTTTTCCAATATACATTTATATCAACAGAAGCTACAAAGCTTGTGGGGTCGTGTATACTAGCTACTGGAATAAAATACATTAATTGAGATATGTGCATGCAAAATACTAATTACGGAGCTAAGATCAAAGTATCAATCTAGGACCTTAAAATTTAAATTCAACTTTCTAAAAGTATACGTAATCTCCATCTCTAGATCGGGATGTGGAGGCAGTTGAGCTGTCGAAAAGAAAGTCTGAACCGTCATTCCATTTTAAATGTTACGTTTATGTGAAGACCTGTAAAAGCTTTCTTAATCAATTTCAAATTATTTACAAGAGCAGCTGCATCCGTCGGTGATTCTGTTTAAGCGACCGGCTAATGCCACAGGCGACTACTTCAAATGAATACTGAGGTTGGCGTGCGCTGGTTACTTGGAGACCTACAATATACACCTGGCCATCAAATTTGTCTTGTAGTATTGGCAACATTTGGGCCTAAAAGGTGCTGACATTACCATGCATCAGCACATCAAAAACAATTTGCCTATCCAAAACAACATCTATAGTAGTGGTAATAACCAGTGATTAGTAAACTGAACAAACGAGAATGTCCATTGGTCAAAATCTATCGGTGAAATAATTAACTCTGTCAAAAAATACTAATAACAAAATATCTCTTTGTTACACGTTGCAACGCAAATAACTAGCAGGATTTTTCATTAATATTTTTCTTGGGCCGCCTGCGAGCATGTTTAGCTTCTTCGTCCTCCCAGTTCAGTTCTTGTTAGTGTCTTTTCTGATACCAAAAGTCAGCTCTTATGCCGGTAAGTTTGTTTTCCTTCAGTACACTTGCCTTGCTTTCCAATTCACTTTTAAAGGACGGCATTAAATTCGCATGGGGCGTTTTAATTGTTAACTTGAGTCTGTCACCATTTGACTCTTGTCAGGGGAGACGACTGTCGTTGGACATGCAACTACAAGAAAAGCCAAACATTACTGTTATCTCGTCATCCAATAGCGAAAATACATTTTGTACAAAAAGGGCCACTTCAGATCTTGTTCTACGTAAGATAAGATCATATAGGATAAAAACCTTTACAAATTTTACGTTACAAGCACTAATTGCGGACACGAAAATAAAGATTGAAATAAAATATTAAAAATTCAAAACCAAAAACAAAAAGTAGAAAGGTTAAAATGTTCATGTATTTATTTTCTGTGTTTAAATTTTTTGTTACAGGTCAAGGGAAAACAAAACATAACTTTATCGTAATTTTTTCTTCTTCGACTATCACGTTGTTTACATTTCTTTAATACCAAGTAACAGTGATGGCATAAACATTCGTTAAGTTATTAATGGGTATTGCACTAAACTAAGCAAGCAGCTGGCATTATTATTTACAATTTTTATATGCCTGAACTGATTGGTTCCCTTAGTAGTCAATATGGATCACTAAGGTGGACCGCCTAATTAATTTCAGCGAAATGCTTTTTCATTCGTTGCATAAAGTAATTATTGTTTTGTACAGGAGAAACATTTTTTTATGTTTAGAGGGCAATTTCAGTTTAAAAAACCTAAATGTTCACAAAAGCGACGAGAACAACTTAAATAAAGGCTTGCCTTTCGCGCTCGCGTTCAACGAGAATGATCCCGGAGACACATCAATTTACCAGCAGATTGAAAAGAGCCATTTAAATAAATACTTTAATCAACTAGCTTGTTCGGTCCGTATTGGAAAATATTGGTCCATACACCTGCAAAAAAGTCCAACACGGACTGAAGAAGCTAGTTCAATAACATACATTTATACAGTCAGTTCAGAGGGCGTGTAAGATGAACCATAGTTAATAGATGAAAATGGTTAAGAAGGCCGGTAAATGTCAAAGAAGCAAACAAAAATTCTCAGATTTATGTCCTGCTTTTAAGGTCCTTGACCCTGCACATCTTTTGTTTTATGCTCATAGACTATTCATGAGTTACATAATCGCAATGCTGATATTGGTTAGTTGCAAGAGTACCCATGACCGCCTTTTGTATTTTGCCAGGTTTTGTGCAGGGTCAACTCCTAAAATAGCCAACAAAAACATGCATACAACAAAACTTTGCCAGGTTTCCTAACCATTTCCCTCTATTAACTATGGATGAACCAAACCTTGATGTGATTGGCTGTCTCGACCCGGGCATTCAAAATGGGATCGGAAATGCCGGCGGTGTCTCAAAAAAAAAAATAGTGCATACAGTTTCTCAATGTAAAGTAATAAATATCTTTACAACCGATAGAAAATAACTTTTGGGAGTGTCAGGTCATGTAAAATGCATCACTTAAGAGACTGTAAAAGTTACCCGAGATTAAAAAATCGGATTACGAACCGTCACGATATTACATTAATCTCTTAACTCTGTGTAAGCCTGTCCACCATTTTTTTTTTTTTTTTTTTTTCACAATAATGGCTACAAATTAAAAGGCAGGTTTGAGCTTGAACTACGTGGCTATAATCATAATAATATAAGGTCAAATAAGTGGATAAGCAGTGAAGCCACCAAATAAGGGACCATTGAGTTCAGCCTTTTGTAATATTAGTGGAGTTTCCCTTCTTCTTAAAAATGTTAATGACTATATAGCATTGGCGTTTGAAAGAGTGTCCTCTAACGGATGACGACTGTCCTTTATACTTGGCTGGTCCTTCATTTGGAGGTTATATGCATTTTATTGGCAACCTGATGGACAGCTTCTCTGCTATACATGTTCGTGCGAAAGGTATAGAACAAATGTGCTGTAGTATAGGATCCTTTCTCTTTTGTTTCTTCTCAGCCACAGAGTATGATGCATTCAGTGGATTCTGCCTGTAGTCACGCATCAGTTGAACCATGTGTGATTTACTTAAGTGTGATCTAAGTGTGATTTACTTCAGTGTAATCTAAGCGTGATTAACTAAAGTGTGATCTCGGTGTGATTTACTAAGTGTAATCTAAGTGTGATTTACTGAAGTGTGATCTAAGTGTGATTTAAGAGTGATCTAATTGTGGATTGAAGTGTGATTTTCAAAT